CAAGAGTTGAGGAATTTTACTATGGTGTCGACGAGCTTCCTCGAGCTTCACAGGCCTCACCAGAGTGAGATTCGTGTGCCGGACCCCCCCCCCCCGTCGCCGAACTGCGCCTGTGCCCTGTATATAAAGTTACAGAAGCATTTGATCGCTGTCGAAATCTTCACATTAGCAAACCGGTCAATGGCCGCAATCGGCGACTTGGCCGCAATCGCATAGAATATGGGCATCGCTAGGCTGATCGCTAGCTCATCACTGATGCCTAACGCCTCGGTCGGTGGACGGCCATCGATTCACTTCGGATTGGTTGCGGGGCGGGTGCGTCGCGGTCCCCAAGATGCGTGAGGAAATCGACCGGCCGTCGCTGCCGCAAGTCCGACCACGTTTCATATATTATTTGTGGTCATACTCTGGCTTCAACTAGAAGTATTTGAATGGATATGAATATCTGTGTCATTTGTGCATGTTTTACGAAGGGGTTACGTGTCTTAAATGAGCAATGATCCAATAACCAGCTGTTTCCATTAGCCAGAGAGAGTTACCGTATCGCGAAGGTTTGGCTAGTCGAGTTGCGATAAGAACTGGGAGCGAATGTTTCAATTTGAGGTCTTCATAAGCTGTACTATTGTTATTTCCATTAGAGCCCTATCTCTAAGAGGAAGCAGGGGATAATTGTTCGCTGGTCCGCAGGGTTCTCTCGTCGTTTACCGTGTAGCTTGCTTTTTCCCCATAATCAGTGGCGAGGCGTGAACAGCACCTAGGGAGTGGCGGATATTTCTCGGCAGTGGATCAAAGCCCGATTGAAGAATGGGGATATAATAACGCTCTCATGACCTGGGCCTTGAATTTTAGTCTGATCAAGGAAGTTTTTATGTTATCGTTCATGTTACCTAAAGTCAGCAGTTTATGATGCATTTGTGGGGAAGTCCCCCCCCCCTTCTGGTAAGGATAAGGGTATCGTATTGGTATGGTCAGAAGTCTTTTTGACTGAAATCTTCTCGTGTTCTGCCTAGATGTGTCTCCGATACTCTTCCGCTTTGGGCAAAATGGTTAATGCCTGCTTTCTGAAATGTTGTTTTAGAAGTGGATGGGGCCAGGGTTTAGGAGGTATGCTCTGCTCTTTGAAGAGGTTGAAGACAGTCCCCGTGCTCAACCGATTCTTAGGCGTCCTTCCTTATGCAAGCAGTCTGGTCATCAGTCTCTAGGATTATCCCGCTTGGCGGCTTCGCCTTAAGTAGCGATGGCGCTGTGACCCTTATAACGGGCAGTCCTGACGCGTCCCTAGTTGTTCCGCAGACCGGGACTCAAAGGCTGTTTTCTTTCGGTTTTTTAAAGTGCTTCTCGTTTTTCTACTGTTAGGTGGTATTGGACATTGGATGATGTGAAAAAAATAATGAGCAGTGGAGCAGGGTATCTCGTTGTTGGCATAAAACTGGCTGGTCTGGAGAACTTGTACTGGAGGCTGCCAAGAGTTTCTGCTTTCTGCTCCCCTGGAGAGTGACTTAGCGACTAAACGTTCGATATTGAACGCCACTATCCATGATAAGCAACTGCAGGGTTCGGGTTTTCCCGTAAAGAGTGACCAGTGGGTCTAGGGCGTTTCCCAAACGATTATAATTCGGGTGATGGACGGGATATTCAGTAATCTGCTCATGAATTGGGCTTTCCTGCCTGAGATCGGTGTTTATCAGATAAGGGAAGTTTTGAATTGTAAATTCATCAGCCGTATGATTCATGTGTGATGGAAATCCTTGATAGTTTACATCTGTTACACCAAGTGTCAGCAGTTTATGTGCATTTATCTGAAAAGAGTTCCCCTCCCTCCAAAGGACCCGTCGGGTAAGGAAAGCAGTGTCAGGCGCTGTTTCTCGACGTGGGGGGGGGCATTTTGTACTACCATTGCTTCCCTAGTTCCGGTTTACAAATCTCACTCTGGTAAAACTTGTGAACGCTTGTGAAGCTGGAGTAAGATCGTCTAGCCACCATCCTGAAACGTGTCAACTCGAGAAAAGGCTACCTAGATGGGTCGGCACATCTATGGAAAGCAGAATGCCTTCCCCCCCCCGTCGACAAACTGCTGTGGAGTGTCATTCTTGGATGGCTAGAAATCCTTTTTTCGCTTGCTTCTGCTCCTATACAATCTTGTTCGCTGCGGACGATAGGCATCAAATAGGGTGGGCTTGGTGCGGCGCCAGCCCGTTTTTTTTTTCCTTTCGGCAAACGACAAGAATGTATCAGGTCGTTCGTATTAGTAGTTCTTCACCAGTTATTGCCGATTACACGCTTAGCAACTGGTCGAGAAATAGTCGGTAGCGCGCCAAATTCAGCCTTACCGTCACGGCACATTTCGTTTCTCTGCTATTCTTCCGCTTTTGGGTAAAATGATTGATGTCTATTTACTAAGAGGTTGTTCATAAGGTCGACATGTTGTAAGAGGCAAGACTCATGTTGAGTGCCCTCTGCCCTCTGGAGAACTGTTTAAGTACAACTCTGCCCATGTTTGCCCGTTACATTGTAACAGTGTGTTTTTCAGATGATGAACTTTTTCACGCAGAGAAAAAACGGCGGCGGTGGCGAATTGTCACGCTCCGTTTCCTCGTCTAGCAAGTCGGGTTCACGTTCTCCGGATAGTGTGGTGCGTTCATAAAATAGATATTGGAAAAGATTACCTTCAAGCCTTTTCGTTTTCAGGAGCGCAATAGGCCGCCTAGAAATGATTCCGCTAAAGTGGAGGAGAGTGAGGATGCTCAGGGTGATAACGATGCGAAAGCGTGAGTTGTATAACAGTCAACCTTTTATATAAAAGATTTGTATGGACTTTAGTCCGAATTTCGCGGAAAATGGCGCTGTTCGGCTCGGGAGGGGCATTTGCACTAGTTTATTTTGCTAGTTCCTGTCAAATTAATTGTCACACCTTGGTGAGACCTGTGGACTCTTGTTAAGCGTAAGCGGAGCTCGCACTGTTGCAGTGCTTGACAGGAGTTCATAGGTCTCCACAGGAGGAAAAGTCACTGATTAAGAACCAGCAGAATGTCCCCACCAAGCTGAACTGTGCTTCGAAACTATTGATTTTCTGGTTATATATCGATTTCCTTCAGACATGGCCCTACAACTCGTAATCGTTGGAAGGTTTATGTAAATCAATGTGAAGAAAAGAAGAAAAGGGTAAGTGTTCTCACATTACAATCCTGCTTTTTTATAAAATGAGTTGTAAGTTAAACAGATCATGTTATGTGGATGTTATGACATTACACAGGATTATTTCTTTTTGTTTCTTCTTCTGCTATCTTTCTACCGAATTCGAGCTTTCGCCATAAAAGTCTCACTTATGGTGGTTGTGTTAACAGCGTCACAAGTCATAACGTTGCGCTACATCTCGATTCCTTTTAGTTCTTCTTTCTCCTGGATTCTCTTTTCGTTAGATCCGCTTGGATAGAAAGCTTGAAATCGTAAGTATATTTCGGCGCAGTTCGGCGACGGGGGAGGGGGTGGGGTACGAGTGGCATATTGCACTTTCGCTGCTTTACTCGTGGTATTTCGTATTGGGTCAAAAGGATGTTGCGCGAGGTCCACATGATGAACGTCGACGAGCAATGATAAAGGAAGGAAAAAGTCTAAATGCCCTGCCCAGACCGGCCCGCCATGTTGATTGATCCCTGACGTCCGAACTGCATCTTGTGTTTTCTTATGAGTTCTTTCGCCTACTGTACCTGTATTCGTGTAATGAAAATGAAGCGAAAAAAAGCTTTTCTCACTTAAGTTTCTCCAGTTGTTCGTGCACTACAACTATTCGCACCGTGATTGTTTACAGCGATGGCGAGCGAGCTACCGCAACTTTTGCTTAGGAAGAGCTGCAGTTTTGAATTTAATCTGGGGAAAAATGTCGGCGTTGAGGTCACCTGGTGTCCTGCTACTTTTCAGTCGACAATGTTTAGCCATCATCAAGAGCATTAAAAGTAATGGAACGCTGATTCATAGTGAGCCATAAAGTGGTATTCAGCAGGTTTTCAGAGATACTTGTCAACCCCTGAAAAGAAATGCCTGTCATCTGGGTGCGATGTGAAGTAACTTAATTCCACCATGCCCCCTCCCCCCACCCCGAAGTCGAACTGCATCTCTAATCCTGTTCTTTATTGCCTTATGCCTTCGTAACTTTTCCTCTGACGTGCGTTCTAGGCTTGAATGTGTTTTAGGCGTTTATTTATAATTCAAAGGCTAGCTATTTTGGCTAAGGCACGCTTCAGCGTGCACCGTAGCTATGAGGCCACCAGGCCATCATTTCCCTCGAAAACCGCTGAAATCACCTCTTTCGATCGGTTTTTGAGGAGTTTTCTTTTTTCGGAAATGCCTCTATAACTCATGCAGAAACGTGGCGTGCATGTATTTCGGGCGTTCATTCATATGTTATGGATTTATAATACGATGTGGAACAGATTGTAATTGTAAGGGCAGAAGTGAGGATGCGTGAAACTGCCATTTTCTTATGTTTCTTTCTGAAAAGGACGTCCATACCTATAGTTGACTGTCGGATTGTTTCAAAATCTCATGGAGATTTATCTCCAAGTGTGAGCACTATGTCGACTCAATAGTGCTATGACCCCAAATAGATTTCTTCTTCTTCCTGGAATTTCGGAATCCATATTTTGTGAGGGAATTTTGTGAATTTGGCTACTGGCCTTCGTGACAGTTCCTGATCTGCTTGGAGGCCTCCTAATACATCTTGTCTTGCAATTTTCTTCAATTTTGACTTATTTTGCCGTTTACTCTTTTTTCTTGCTTTTTATGTGAGAGCAGCGTTTCTCAAGCGTTTTCTGTCGCCCACCTGTCCTATCTACATTTTGCACGCCGCGGACGCGAAGACGTCTCAGAGGGTCGGGTATGGCGCGGTGCCAGTCTAATCTCCACTTGTGGAGGCTCGCACGCACCAAACCCAACCCGTGTGGCATACTCTGCTGCAAACAAGACTTTACTGGCGCAGTTCGGCGTGGAAGGGGTATTTTGCACTTTTGCTGCTTCCTGTCTACGGGTCAGCCTTCTAGAGAACTATTGCGTGAGCTCACAAGTTGACAGGTCTTACCATGGCGACTTGATGCTTCACAAGTGTTGACAGGCTCCACAAAAGTGAGGCTTGTAAACCAGAACTATTGGAGCGGGGAAGTGCAAAATGCCCCTCCCCGTCACCAAACTAAGCCGACTTTACCTATTCGTTAGGATACTTTGAAGGCTGGTGTGATGCCGTTTATGTAACGGAATCGCTAGGTGGAACTCGTCTTTGATCGTGTGATCTTTCGAATAGATCGTCTTCATCAGAGGCCCAGTCTAATACCGCAGGAGCGGAAAGCATTCGCTGTTAGTAGTCAGTACAATATGATAATAATAATAATCAAATTGCACCAACAAGCGGCGGAGCAGCAGTTTTCGCTTCTGCGTTGGTGGGCCAGGCCTCTGATGAAAGGGATCTTCTTCCGGTGCCTCATCTAGGGCGACACACTTTGTCTTTAATCTGTTAACGTCAGCTTCACTTTGACACGATAAAAGGTAATGTCCCTCACTAATCCAAAATTGTTTTTGCACTACACCTCAGCAAGATCTACTCTCATAACGGACAAAAATGTCCGATTTTATCCTCGACAACAAGCACATGCATTAGCGCGTTTATAAACCTGCCTCGCAGAATGGTGCATTTTGCCAGGGCTCTCCTATGCCGGGAAGTCCACGATTGGGTTGACACCATAGTGAAGCCGGAGTTCTACTTGAAACTACGTGCCTCCTGGCTCGTGAAAGTACAGCACGCGCATAATCTCACGCCCCATGTTGGACGCGAATAACTTTTCTCACTTATTCACTTCTCCAAGGGGCGGAGGCCTCGAAGACACAGTCCTGCTTTCGTTTCACGCGGTTTAGATTTGTCTGCTGCCTGTCTCTTGTCTTTGTTGCTTGTTGCCTAGGTCGAGTTTTTTCGGGTCCGCTCAGGTTCGGCCACTCCCTGAGAATAGGACAGTAGTGCTATTATTGCTCTTCAGTTCCACATCAACCACTTACGGTTCTTCCGTCGAAAAAAATGAATTCCTGTGGCCGTTCCTACCACCTTGAGCAAGGCTCACCAAGAGTGATGATACGCCGGCTAAACATTCTGAAGGAAACTAGCTAAAATACCCTAATGGATGCAATGCCTTCTCAAGCCTGAACGGTCCGCGCCGAGTTTTGTTGTGGAATGAATTCTTGATTCAGTTTTTCGCGGCTGAATACAAACTCGGGTGTGTGGAAGGACATCAGGGTAATCGACTTGATGGAATCTGGAGGAAACTTGTTCAAATAGTGACTGTTTCTCAAAAAGGTTCAAATATCGGGTGGTCGTTCCCCTTAGACCTAGGCAGAAGTTCATCTCTATTTGGGTGGTTTTAGTTCTGTACAAGGAGTCCTTTGAATGCCCCCCCCCCCGCTCTTCCATAAGAGTATTGGCACCATTTTCAGTTGTGAACAAATCGTATTTATGGCATTTTTAGCCCGTGGCACGTGTTTCGGAGGATGCTCGAGAGGGTATTGAGAAAATGCACCAGCTCATTTCGGCTCCTCGTCCTGTGGACTTGAATGTTGGGGAAGGACTGGTTCGCGTGGATTTGCCACATGGCCCACCACCGAGTGAAAAGTTATACAGTGAAGGAGAAGAACTTAACGATGGCAAGTCTGTCGTACGCATCATTGATAAAGAATCGGAGGACGTCTTGTCAGCGAAAATTCCAATCGACGCCTTGTGCTGTACGTTTTTTTTCTTTCTCTTTTCACGAAAATTCCTGTTTTCTACGGAACAAACCTCAGGTTTTTAGTGAACTACAGAAATCAGATGATGGCGTTTCTGGAATATATGAAAACTCCGAGTTTCCGGCAGGATATTGAAAGGGACATTGCAAATGAGAGAGTGAGTTTCTCCATTTCTTTCTTGAAATGCTTTTGGTTCCTGGCTCAGTACTGTTACTTACCTTTACCTTTATATCTTACCGTACTATTACTCTGATATATCTTACTGTTATCTTTATGTCCTTTGTACATAAAGAAATTTTGTAGAGTACCCCCCCCCCAAAGTTTTCTCTTCTGGTACGGCCTCCCTCTTCATCCTATCCCAAATCCTCCTACGTTCTCCCTTTTTTCCGGAATTCTCCCAGCTGAAATTCCTGAATTTCCGAAATAACCGTCGGGCAGGGGTGAATCGCGCTATAAATCAGGAAAACACGGGTAGAGTCAACAAGTGAAACATTTTTTTTCAGAGACAAATACTTAGGAGAAGAGGGCGAACCAATTTCTTCCTGAGGGAAGGGATTATGATAATCACAGTTTTCCAAACCGAGTCCTCTAAATATCTCCCACCTCTATTGGGCTCGTCCCCATTTTCATTTCATCATCGTTACTTTTATTTTTGTGTGAAGCTTCATTTCCTTACGTTTGCGACTCGTTAGGCTCGCAATGCTGAATTGCTGGAGAAAGTACGTCAAGCAAGTGTAGCAGTGGCCGCTCAAAGATCTCAAGGTGTATGTGCCCTGTACGAGCGCTTGAATGATCTTGGAATGAGTGATGTTGAAACGCCGACTGAATTATTGCAAGGGTAAGTTCTGACTCTATTCTAGTCTTCTTTTCGCCACCTTTACTATTTACTAAATGCCATATTCTAGAACCAGTGGGCACGACCGTTAGGGGCGGGCGGTTGTCGCCAATGCTACTGATGGATGTTCTGAGTGGGTGTGGCCAAGCGCACTCTCGCAACTTTCCACCAATGACTGGCAACAACCTCCCGCCCTCAGCAATCATGTCCGCTGCGTTTGGAGAACGACTTTTATCGAACTTTAGGTCAAAGCAGATTGTTGCGCATCACAAGGATCTGAACCAGCGAGTGTCTTGTTTTGAAACTGAGGTATGTGCTTAGTGTTTGTATTGTGAAAACTGGTCATCTCAGAGGAACGATGCTTTACTTTCAGGTTGCTATGTTGGAAGGACGTGTTCGAGCTGTACGACCTTATGGGGACAAACTCATTGAAGCGCTTCATTGTAAGTGGTTGACTACTCCCCTAAAAAGCCGAACCTTTGCTCTTATTCCTCAAGTAGGACCAATGAAATCTACTTTTCAGCTATTGGCGATAATCCCCTCAACGTCGAGGACTTACTGCAGACGGTGCTGCAACAGACAGGCGGAGACACCGCAGCCTCAGCAGCACTTCGTCTGGAATCTGAAAATGAAGGGGTTGAGGGCATGCTTCTCTCTCCCGGTGCAGGTCCAGCAACTATTGGTGCGACTCATGTTGGGAATGTGTCACGGAGACCTCGCCAACGCCCCCGTGCAGGCCCTGGAGCACGAGGAAAGGGTAAACCAGAGGAAAATTCGGAGGAAATGCAACGCCAAA